CGCTTTCTGTCTCTATGTCTCTCTCTGTCTGTCTGGTGAGCGCACACGCCCTACAGTGAAAATCTCTCCAAAGGGGAAGTAAAGGATGAGATGGTTTCTTTAATCTGAGTGAATGGGATTTACTAAGAGCTTTCTTGTTATGAAGTCCCGATTGGAATCCTCATGTATCATGAAATTTTCTCATAAAACAATTTGTGAGGAAGAATCGGTTTTCTTCGAAGCTCTCATTTCTAAGTACCTGTTTCTCTATAAAACATCTATTTGTTATTCATGTCAGCTTTATTTAAATGTTTCTTCCTGTTAGTCAAGCTTGTTGCAATTCCAAATGTTGTTGTTCTTCCTCTATAGAACCAGTGAGATGCGTAGCTGCATTTTAAAATTCAGATCTGTTTTAGGAAAATGGAGTAATGCATAAGGAATCTTGGTACTTGGGGCCATACTATGGCATGATAGTTAAGGTACTGGATCTCACATACCTCATTGACAGTTAAGTCCCAGACCCAGCAGCTTGAGAGACACGTGGGCATGTGTATGTGTATGCCTAAAACGCTAAGAGGAGGGTGATGTGAAGGAGAAGGGACTGTGGCAAGACTGTTTTCCATAGGAATTGCTTTCTCGCTTTTCCCCCTCACTTTCTCTGGCGAGTGTATGTGCCTTCTGACAAATTAAAATAATAATAATAACAATTTAAAAATAGAATCTTAACATTTATTTGCTTAATAAGGGATGAAAGGGTGCCCTGTGGCCTGGAAGTTAAGGGAGCCAGATGCAATGGCCAACAAAATGGTTCAAATTCAGATTCCAGGGCCTAAAGGAAAAATGTCAGGTGCATGTGTATGTGTGCCTAAATTACAGGAAAATGGAGAAATATAGGAGAAGGGAATTAAAAGAAAATAAAACAAAAATTTAAAAAATTAAAAAGAGAGAGAGATGCTTGCTTAAATTCAGTGAAGGTTTTGTGTGAAAGTATTTTAATCTGTTAAAATAAACCTTATATGCCCAAGAAGAAGACATAAAAATGTGTTACTAATTTGGTGTAAACCATGAAAGATGATGAAACTTATATAATTCCTCAGAATAAAACTGAATTTAACATATTAACAACATTACAACTTTAAAAGTTGTACTTTTGAACCAACATTTATTTCCATTTTAAAAATTTATATCCATTAAGCATATTTTTTAAAAAGTTTTAATGGAGAGTTGGACATAAATGTGGCTAATATACTAGCAACTTTTGATCATTTTAAAGCCAAATCATATTTGAAAGTAATTATTGAATCTTTCTAATTTCTTTAATAAAACATACCCTAAATTTGCAAAGATAATAAAGATCTGTTATAAAATAACAGTTCATTTGAAATGATAGTTTAAAAGTAATGTATATTTGACTGAGTTACAATGGACATTTTCTTTAAATACTGGTAAGTTAGTCATGAAAAGGAAAGCTCAATTTTCTAATGTTTCTAGGCATGCTTGACATTTTAAATGTAATGAAGTACTTTTGCAATCCATTTCCAACTACAGGCAAATGTAGAAAAAAAACATAAAGAAAATAAAGAAAAAGTAATCTCATGTAAATAATATGATACTGAAAATGAAAAGCTGTTAGAATCGTATACTTATGTTTTCTTTACTTTTATAAAAAACACACACATCAAAAAATTTTACAAGAAAGGATCTTGAGTGAACAAAGATTCTGTATAAAATGTGAAAGGGTTAAAACTTTTTCAAGAATCTCCAAATAGCACAAAATAAACATAAAAAAAGTGAGAGAGAGAGAAAGAGAGAGAAAACTTAAAAAATATTGTACTTCATAGAGTTATCCAAAGAGACACGCTCATGTGGACTGAGAGCTTCTCATTGAGTACAAGTCAACACATTTTAATTGAGCATTCACTTTCTGAAATGTAAAAGCTTAGAGTGAAACCTCCACCCCACAAAGATTGCTTTGCTACTTCACTTCTATAGAAAAAGAATGAATGTGGTAACCATTATTTATATAAACATAACCCTCTCAAAATTAATTAAATCACTTATCAAAACAGTTTTTATAACTTTTAAATGGTTTGGGAGAAATCTGCCTTACCCACTTTAAATCAAAAGTCTAATTAGCTTAGAGACTTTTTTTTTCAATTTGAAGTGTGTTAATCTCTTTGCCTGCCTTTTATAGACTTAATTCAAAAACAGAAAAAAATATCTTTACATCAAACAATTTCAACTGTGAGAGAAGTGCCAGATAAGGCTGATGAGGACGAGGCAGAAGCTAGCACATACCTTTACTGCTCACGCCTCAGTGAACTGGCAAGTCTCTGATAAGAGTATTTACCCCAAGCTTCATTTCTCCCATTTCCAGGGAAGCAAACAGAGATGCTGATCATTCTCTCACTTGAATCCTGGCTCTATCACCCTTATGATTTGTAGAGTTGGCCAAGTCACGCATCTTTCCTAAGGCTATTTTCTCACAGGTTCAGAGATGTAGATCTCTACCTAAGCATCAAGTATAAGTGAATATATGTTAGGTCACAAGTTTGACTCCACAGTTTCTTGTCACCTTGACATTATTGCAGTTCCACCAAAACTAAAGCATTTTTTTTTAACCTTGTTCTGATCATACATTACAGTAATTATTGTGATCCTTCATCATGATCATTTTGAGGCTCAGAGAAGAAATGTAGTATGGTTTCTTGAAAACTTTCAGATTTAAACCGATACGATTTGGGGTCTTTTAGGACATTTACTTCATGAATAGTATTGTATCACTGAGAGTTGTCAGGCCGTCTCTGTAAGACGAGAGTTGTCTCTCTGCCCCTGACTTGTTTCAGCTGGCCTTGTTGGTGACACTGGCCATTCTCAGTTCAGAATCAAGCCCCACACACCATTTTTGCTGATGGTACTTTCCCACTTCAATCAGCCCGCCTAGGTTGAGACTTCTTCTGTGCTATTTAGCTCCCTATAATTAATTTTGTACAAAGTCTTTATTATAATTATGAACTCTCCCACTTCTTGTCCTCACACCTGGAGTTCCTGAGAGGAACTGGCAAGTGTTTTCACTAAAGGCCAAACAAACATTTCTTGATAAGTGAATAAATTGTATATGTAAAAAAGTCTCTAGGTAGCCACTAAAAAGTACTATAGAATTACTAGTGGTTAGCTGTTTATTGTTAATAGCTGATAATGAGGAAGGCTGGCTTCTAAAAATAACTCAGCTATCACTAAGAAAAAAAAAAAAAGTCAAGGAAATGAAAATGGATTCAGGTCTTGAAAGGCCACCTCCGTTATGCTGGATAACTCAGATAAAGTCCTTAATTTAGAAAGTGTTGCCATCATTGCAACCTAATTATAATGCGGAGTGAAGAACTGGTACTGCATTTCTAGTATGTTGCATTCCTTTAAGAGTCCCAAATGAAAATCAGAGAGCATTTTGGCGGAAACACAGAAACAGAAAAGGAATATTTGTATTGATTTTTCCCCCTTTTCTCTCTCTTCTTTTTTTCAATGTCTTTTTCCTTACAATAAGATCACAAACTCCACTGGGACACTCGACATCACTCAGCAACAGCCAAGAGTCCTCTTGAACCATCATTCATGGTTGTATAACTTCTCACCTAAAAGTTCTCTGCGATTGTCTATGTCGTGGTTAAGTGGAAAATTCACACAATAAACAGCAAGATTCTCTGCAGTTAGCCCTGGTAATTCTCTGGCCACACATTTTAGCCCTCTCCTTCTGAGACTTTCACTCCGACACATTAGTTTCCACACTTTTTTTTTTTTTTTCTTCTGTCCATGAGCAAGAGAAAGACACAAAGAGAGAGACAGTTCTTTAAACAGGATTTTCTTGCTGTGATTCACCTCTAGATTCAGGCAGCCGTGGATCATGGGCATGTGAGTGTTTGGAGGGTTCAGGGAGATCTCTGGGTGTGAACGTAGAACCTTCCCATTTCGGTCAGCCTCATGCAGTATTACACTTTTTCTGCATCACTATCAAAACCCTCCATGGTTTTTTGATATCTAGCATGTTGCCATTTCAGGGCCTTGACAGATATTTCTCCTCTCTGAAAAATTATCTTTCCTAACAGTCCAAAGCTCTCCCAGTTTTAAAAGCATCTTTTCAAATGTTACTCATTCAGAAAGTGAGTAACATTTTAAAAAGCAATGACACTTTCCACCCTCTCATGCTCACAATCTTCTAAACCAAGCATGATTATATTGCTTACCCTTATCATCCTCTGCCACTCAAATGGATTTTTATCATACTTTAAATAGTTTAAAATAATATAAAAACCAGTCAACATACAAATTGGAAATATTTTTGGTTACAAAAAGAATTAGAAATGCATATTTTAGTTGTAAAATAAGAAATGAAGAAGTATTTAAGTACATTCCACTCATTCCCTGCCTTTTATGGTTAAAGACAAATTTATGATTTACCTACAGTTGTATGAAGCAATGGCTTTTAATTACAGCACAAGAGAGACTATTATCTACTTCTTCATTACAGTACAACACCCTTTTATAACACGTGTATTCCTACTCATGTTCACTTTTCCTCTTAATCAATACAAAATATTCCAGACACAGACTTCTCGTACATAAAAAAAAACATAAAAATTAATTTGCATTCATGTGTAGAGGTCAATAAATGTCATACTCAGGAACATTACTGAACAGTATACGTGGTCAGATATTTTAATTTGCAAGATATGGTAATAGCTGGTCCTTCCTATCTTTATTTTTTGAACATCTACTATTTCAGGCTCTTTAGCTCAATTCTTTCCATTCTTCGTAAACTAAGAGGTAGGTTTTATTAGTCACTTTTTGAAATGAAGAAAATGAAGTTTGGTATGTTATAGTACATGGCCTAATGTAATACAACCAGAAATGGTCAGAGACGAAATTCAGACCGAGAGCGCCAATTCTGCGCCTCTGCTTTCTGTCATGCCTATGCCCCCTTGCAGACATCAGCAGGAGAACTCAATTACTCATGTAATTGAACTTACCTGCTTATGTGAAAGTTTCCATGATCGTAGTGTGAGCTGACTTCCAGGCCAATCTCTGCCACTCCACAGAAACAAGGGACAGTGACGAGGTATGTTGGAATGCATTATTATGAAAGAAACAAAGGCTTATGTACTTGACTGGAACCCAAAATACATCAATCCTGGCCATAGAGTACTGGAAGAAAATCACCCATCTGACATGTAGTATTTGGATAATCTCCACACTAGAAAACCAAAGAGAGAAGGAACAACACGTAGACAAAAATGAAACAATTTGCATTTATTTCCTCTTTTTTCTAGGAACGGGCATCTTAGAAAGCTTTACAGCTGTAATTAACTATTGTGCATTCTCTGGCTTTGAGATGGCATTAAAAAAAAACATTAAAAGCAAGAGAAAAGCCCATTGTAAGGGCTTAGAAAGTAAAAAGTAAGTCGTTTAATTTTTCTTTCATCTGATGTTAATTTATGCAGAAGCTAATAACATATTTGTGGCTCAGAGCTGCTCACTGTAGAGAAGCTTTCTCTCCCCACAGGGCTTTCCTGTGATTCCTGCCACACAGAGCTTCTGAGCTTTCCGACATTTCAGAGCTTCTGACACTTTGGCCAGAGAAAGGCAATACTCAGATAAGTTCACATCCTAGAGGCACATTCAATCCCTAGCCCTCTAAAAACCATTGGTACTAAATGCTCAAGCTCTTATAAACAAAACAGCAAACCAATTGGAAGAGAGAGTGAAGAGGAAACTGGATATGTGGGTGCACGGTTGAATCGTAAGGGAAGAGGGCATATTGTTGGTTGTTGAGAAAAAAGTCAGGGGAAGGAGAGTTTTTATAAAAGAAACATGGGCTACTTTTAGGTCCAAGTATGATCTAATTAAATTGTTACATCTTTTATAAATGAAAAGTTTAATTGCACTGCTACCAAACCTCCTATGGAACACAGACAATAGTGCTTGAAGAAATGCAAAATCTCCAGAAGTTGATGTTTTAAATGAAAGTCACCATGAATAAAGTAAGTTCCATAATGACAGCTTAAAGGTCTAATTCATAAAAATGTTATTAAAGTACATTATTTATACTTGCTTTTTGTGGACTCCTGCTCTTATTCATGATTCTCATAGCGTATGGCTATAATCAGAGGCAGAGTATATAATAGAAGCATTAATCCAGTCTGAACTAAGGGAAGGATACTGTATCACCACAATAAAATCCTAGCTATATTAATTTAAAGGACCGAATTTATTTCACAAGAGTATTCTCAGTTTAAAAAAAAAAATAAAAAGAATGTCTTCTATCTTATGGCCTCAATCTACTTTCATTCTGAAGTTCAGTAAGATTAACTAATTCACATGAACTTTTTATAGAAATATTTATTCATCAACATTATGAAACTTAGAAACGTGGATACCGACTTGTGATCTTATATAGTGTCTATGGCATTGATGTTTAGTATGGGCTTAAAAATCTTTACAAGTAATCTGTTTGTTAATTAACCCCTTTTCTGGTGTGTGACCTCAGAGGGTGATGTTTAGCAGATGTTTATTTAATTTTCTGGAACACACATTTATTTAGATAAGATGAAAAATCACCTGTATGTAAAATTTCTCTCAGAGAAACTAACATAATGATACGACATCAAAAGTATCTTGATCCATAATTTTAAACATGATGTTCCTATTTAATATGCATAAACCTTTAGAAAAAAAGAAAGTAGAATTCAATTGGTTTAGTTCTAATACTAGAGCAAACATTTGACTTCTTGTTTTTTTTTTTTTTCTTTTGATTGCTTGAGTGTAAGAGTATACTGTAGACAAGTTTAGACAAAGTGTGAATATATTTCTCCCTGCAACAGTAGATTATCTGTAGGAGTCATGAAAGGGGGTCCCTAATAAATTCTACTTCTAACACTGGAAGAAAAATGTTATCTTTGATCTTTTAGGTAAAACAGCTCTAAACCTAAGGGAATGAATTAATTCCTGTATTTAATAAGATACAGTCATTAGTAGACAACTCAAGAATGTATCTTAGAACTACACAGTTGAATTTCTTCAGCATGGTAGCAATCGTACAATAGTTCTGGATAAAGGAAATGTTTGCATGCATCTGTACCTGAAATGAGAGACAAATGCCAATGGCAATAAGAAAGGTATTTGAAATGTAGTGTAAATAACAGTACAAATTGAACATAAAAATCAGTTTTAAGTATTAAGCATACTTATCAGTGCCTCAAATCTAAAATCACTGAACATTTCAACAACTATGGATCAGTGACTTTGTTATTTGAAATGACCACACTTACCTAAAAAGTGTCCAGAGATGGCCAATTGTCATGTGGCTGTGGCCAGATAGCACCTGAGGTCCCTTCTTTGCCCCTCACCCAAAGCTTTCTCAGATTTTAAAAAACAAATCTTCTATGAAGTTTACAGGCATCAAGAATAGTTCTTCAGGGCATCCAGACTTACTACCCTCTCTGGGTGCAAAGATTGTCTGAGCACCCTTGTCGATACAACCACTCAGAAAGGGCACTGGGAGTTATGTCCCCAGCATACTGCCAGATAGATGTCACCAGGCTGGACTTGCCTGTTGACAAAAGCCAGATTTGAAAAACAACTAAATCCAAATAGATGTTAATTTGTGCACATAGAAAAAGAAAACAAAAATCCCTTTAGCTTACTTGTAGTCTTTCCTGACAAATTATATTTTAATTTTATGTTTCAGTACCTTACTTTAATCACTGAAGTAATTAAACAATATGAGAAGCCTGTACTTTTTTTGCTGGGGTGTTGGGAGGGATTATACGAGCATGTGTTCTCTGGAGAGACAAAGACCATGAGAGAGAAAGTGAGATATCACCACCCGGAGGAATGGCCATAACACAGTCTTTTCTCCTTCATTCTCCTTGTGGGATCTTGGGCATGCACACTCAACACACATGCTTGGCATAATTTTCAAGCCTTTGAGTCTGGGGCTCGAACCATAGTCGGCCATGTGGAAATCCAGCAACAAAACCTCTACACCATCTGCTGTCCCTGAGCTGCCTATACTTTTAAGCATTTACTGTGAGCCAGGTCCATGCAGAATGCTTTGAAAATATTATCTAACTTAGAGGGAGGTTCTATTATTTTACAAATCAGGAAAATAAGTCTTAATAAGATTAATCCACTTGCTCAAAGTCACAAAGTCAAAGGTAATCCTTCCTTCAAGCCTTGGCTTTCCTCTTGTACTACATCTTCCTAAAGAAATATTTTTTATTTTTCTCTAGGACAAGAAGCAGAAAAGAAGAAAGCTGAAAAGAAAGTTACTGCTGAAACAAAAAAGAAAGGTAAGGAATTTCAAAGTTGTCTAACACATAGTCAGTATTCGCATGTGATGTTACTAGTAAAGCTATTCTTTTCTAGGAAAGAAAGTCTCTTAATTTTATTATCGTTTTTATTAATGAATACCTTTGATATTTATAACTATTTCAAGCAAAGTTGAAACTGATAAATTTTTACAAGAAGATTTTAAGCCTAAACAATTTAAAGAGCATTACTGTCTGGTTATTATTATTTTTTTCCCCCTTAGGAGCATCTGCTCAATTCTCCCTAATTTATTACTTACCTTGACTATGTGTATAAATTGAAGATAACTACTCAACTTTCAGCTTAATTAAAAAATACTCATCAAAACAGCAAATCATTTCATGCAGAGGGAAGAAATGCTATATATATGTATATGTATGTATATACATATACATATGCATATGTGTGTGTGACACACACATATATACATATATATATGTATACATATATATATATATGTATACATATATATATATATATATATGTATACATAAGGAACATACAGTATGTTCCTTTTAATATATGCTATAAAAGCTATTGACTGATCACTAATGCCATTGAATATTTCCATTGTCATGAAAGCTCTTTTGCCCTTAGTGATTTTGGCCCCTCCTGAAGAGAAAGCACATGTAAACCACTAGCCTGTTGTGAATGTAACAGTTCGCTCATCTTGGACATGACTTACGACTCCGATTTAAGATCCTTCTATACAAGATGAATTGAATGTCTCAATGGCAGTCACCCATGCTCAGAAATATATATGAATTAAACAGGTAGAGCCTTATAATTTTCTTATTTTATCAACAGAAAAAGAAGATGTCAAAAAGAAAAGTGAGAAGGAAACTACCGTCGATGTGAAAAAAAAGGGTATGGTACTTTTGGTTTCTTTACATTGTGTTCAGGATGCTTGTTTCATGTCAGAATCTCAGTGCAATGTATACAATTGGATTCAAGTATTTAAATCTGCCCATATAGACTGTCAAAATGAAAATCAACTAGATAAAATTAGACAAGGAAGACTCTATTCAAGGTTATTGCAATAGGTGGGAGACCAGAACTTTGAGAATTCAGTCTGAACTAACTCTGCTGAAACAAAAAGAAGGAGAGTTCATAAAAAAATGGAACATTGCAGTCCATCTGCATTTGCAAATTGTTTTTACCTAGAGAAAAAGTAGACTTCCTTGTATCTCCTTATAGAACTTGGTTTCACAACCTAGAACGAGGTACAGAGGCAGTTAGACTCCTATCTACTCATAGAAACAGGAAAATAGGGCCCTATCTGTCTTGGTGATCAAATTTTGAGGACATGACTCTTAAGTCCTTGAGACATGCCTTCTTGGGTTGTAATACTGTATACTGTCTTGTAAAAAACTGGCATCTCAAAGGGGCAGATAAAGAGTTTACTAAAGTAAATGTAGTAAGCAAAGAGAAGGAGCCAATGGTCAGGAAAAAGCCTATTGACATTTAATCCAGCAAGGGTCATCTCGGTTAAGACATTATGAGATTAAGAACAGTTACATAATGTAACAGTACTGCTTTGCAAAGAAGCTAAGAGAATATTGTACTCTCATTAAAAAAAGAAATAGTGTATCTCATCCATTGACAGTTTAGACTTTTTAACTATCAACTTACATTCTGGTTAAAGTTAAGTCCCCATGAAAAAGATAGTCATCTCAAGTACGACAGTTTGGTGATAAGTATTCTGACTACAAATGTTTCCTAGACCTGAGTCAGCGATGTTTGAAATTCTACTATTACAATAGAACCAGTCCGTTGTTTTAAATTATGAAATAATTGTTTTCTATTAAAATGCAAATTGGGACTGGCAGATGGCTCAATGATTACGTCACTGGACTCCCATGTAGTCGACCGTGATTCAAGTCCGAGACCCAGTGGCTTAAAACTCACACCGAGCATGTATGCGTGCATGCCCAAAATTCCAAGAGAAAGTAGTAGAAGTGGTTGCAGCGTAGCCCTGGAGGGGTGATTTCTTGCTTTCTGTCTCCGTCTCTCTCTTACGAGTGCGCATGCCCTACAGCAAAAACCTCTTTTTTTAAAAAAAATGCAAATCTCCTCACATCTGTGAGTTTGGTGTGAAAGACTAATTCCTCTCAGGCCTGCTGGCAGTGTGGTTAAGGCGGCTTGGTCCCTCATAGCCGACTGAGTCGTCTGAGTCTCCATGATACTGGACCAGCAGTTTGAAAAATAACACTGAGTGCATGTGTGTGCATAGACAGAATCCTGAGCAGAGAGTGGAAAAGAAGGGGCTGCAGTGTGGCTATGCCCCCTAGGGAGATGCTTTTTCTCTCTTTCTCTCTCTTTCACTGTCTCTCTCCAGCAAGCACACATTCCCTAGAGCAAATTCAGACATACACGCATACACACACAAAACAAAGCAAAACACCTAATTCCTCTCAACTATTAAAATATAATGAGATTTCCAAATCTTTCCTGTGTAGTAAAACTGAAAATGGCCCAGAAAAAATGAGATATGAGGCAGTAGGTAAGATTAAAAGAAGGAGGGCCCAGCAGGTGACATAGTGGTTAAGGTACTGGACTCCTTCCTACATGACTGACCACAGTTCAAGTCCTGGATCCGGCAGCTCCAGACTCATGCTGAGTTTGTGTGTGTGTACTCAAAATTCCAGAAGGAGAATGGAGGAGAAGAGATTACAGTATGGCCATCACCTGGGAAGGAGTGATTTCTCACTCTCTCTCTCTCTCTGTCTCTTCAGCGAGCACAGGTCCCCCATAGCAAAAATCTATTTTTTTTAAAAAATGATTTAAAGAGGGAGGCTGAAGAGAGAGCTTCAAGATGGGGTATTTTCTGGGGAGAACAGGCTCGTCTTGATATTTCTTAAAACCTATGTAGGTAATTAATAGTGCATGTAGAAAAAAACAAAATCTTGGTAGCCTGAAAAGGATGCCATAGAATGCCAAACTAAGTAACAACTAAGTAACAAATAGAAACAAGAAGAAATCCCTGACATCATGCCACAAATAGAGGTAAAAAATATGAAAGATTAAGAGTTGCATAATTGCATGGCTCCTGAAATGAGCAGGAAGAAGCTTTCAGGCATTTGGTACGTGTGCTAATCACTTTGTATCCAAATTTCTGTTAAAGATGCATTATTTGTCTACTGTAATGCTGATGGCTCACTTTGTTCAAAACTTTCTCTTTCCTTTTTCATACTGCAATATATATATATATATATCTTATCATAAGAAAGGAAAAACACAGTTCTGATTGTAAGAAGATACCGAGAAACTCATTGCCTGGGTTAATGGATCCGTAGCAGTTACATGATTTGATGGTCTAAGAAGGTGCTCCCCTCCTGGGCCATCAGTTCTACTAAAGGATGTGTAGAAGGAAGTTTTGAATTGTAACCTTCAAAGCATTTGTCATACACATGCAAGTGCAAAATCTGAAAAAAGTTCTTTTCATAAAACTTGTGTGTGTTCGTGTGTGTGTGTGAGAGAGAGAGTATGCACGATTTTTGTTTTGATTCAGTTTTATACTTTTTCTGGGAGAAAGACAAAACATAGTGGTGATGGGAAAAGTGATACTTATGTGCCACTGGGAGACCTGTGTTATTAGCCCAGCAGTCATGTCAGAGTGAGGTTGTGCACCACTGGCAAGAGAACCGATTATGCCAATATCACTTCCTATGAGGCCAGTCAATGCTCAGTCACCCAAGCAGAGACCAAAACGAGGTAATTGTTCACATCGGGGGAGGGCTGTTCAGCAAGTGTTGCGAAATAAGTGTTTCCTTCATGGAACCGGTTTTTTGTTTGTGGACTTGACACTTTTGATTTTACAATATATTATTGGTTCTTATAAGGATTAGTTCAACTTCCTCATGTATATATTTATAATCCATCATTTTCTTATAAACCCGTACCTCCCAAATATTCAAAATTGTGTGTGAGAGTGTGTGTGTATGTAAGACAATGAAGAAGAGAAAACCAGCCATAGAAATTGAATTACTGCCAACTTTCAACTCATGTTTCTTTTTAGAGTTTAATAATGCTCCAATTATATTTTCATGTGACAACTATATGGTTTAAAAACAGCCAGGTTTTTCCTTATGAAAGTATTAAAAATTTTCAAAATTGAGAATAGATGGAAATCTTAAAAAGCCGAGACACATATGTCATTTCTTCTTACAATAGAGAATATGATATCACTCCTGTAGTTCCCAATAGTAGCACACTTACAAGGCATAAGATATACTTAAATGCTAATTTTCATTTTTTTTTTATTGCCATAGAGTGCCTGTGCTCACCTGAGAGAGACAGAGACAGGAAAAATGAGAAATTGCTCACAAGGGGTAATTTACTACAATCCCCTCTCCTCTACTCTCCTCTCAGGATTTCGGACATGCAAGCAGATGCACCCAACATGATCTTCAAGCCACTGAGTCCAGACTCGAACTGTGGCAGGCCATGTGGGAATCCAGTGCCTTAACCACCATGTCACCTGCTGGTCTCCCAGATGCTAATTTCATATATGCATTTTAAGTAAGATAATTTATCATATTTACATTAAAGCATTATTTATTTGATTAAATAAATATGGGCATGAAAGCAAGAGAGAGAGTACACACTGCAGCAGTGCCCAGTGATGCTCCAATGCTTTGTCCCCACACTCCATTCTAGTTCTTCACTCCATCAAGATCCTGGGCACACACATGTATTTCAAGGCTCTGGGATTAGGATTCCACCCCTGGTCAGCCATGTGGAATCTGCACTTAACTGCTGCACTGGAGGTCTGGCTCATACCAGGGTATTTTTGTAATGTTACAAGGTTATATTATTTCCCAAGGAAATATCATGAAAAGAAGAAATCACCGCAGGCAATAAAAACTGTTAAAAACATCTCCTTAGTTTTGTATTGGACTTCAGTGCCAGATACACTAAACACGCTAGTTAGGACAAGCAGAAGAGATTCTGTATGAGAACTGGAACCTCACAGAATTGTTGGAAGAACTGGGAGAATAGAAATCATGGAGCTGCTCCTTGATTAGGACACATCAGAGCACATCACTAGGTCTGGAAGCTGCAGTGCTCATCAAAGCTGCCTCTTCATAACCACAAAGGCTAGAACAAGTCAAGTTGAGGCAGATCTCAGCAATTAATTGAAATCTGCATTTGCAAAATCATTTGGGTTTGACCAACCACTTATGCTTTTCAGTCTCATGTACATGTAGGTTTATCTAATTGGTAGACTTTAATGTCTCCAGTATCCAAACTCTGAGTATGCAACATGTAGATTTTCAGCATTCCAATTTTTCCAACTGAAAGAAGAGTAGAACAGAAATTAAAAGAAACTATCACAGTAGCTATAATAAGTTCAAAAATGTCTAAGAATATAAAACTCATGTAATAGGGGGATTGGTTTTAAAGGCCTGAATTATACAGTGACTAAACTTACCTTTCAGTGCCCCAAGAAACTGAAACCAATGACTCAATGAAATGACATGATCATATTTGGTGTTTTAAAGGGGTCACAAGGCACACCTAACTGTAGTTTATATTGTTCTTTATGTAAACTGTTAAGAAGTATGGGCATTTGTCTTCTCTCCATTCCACAGGTGATGTTTTTGAAAAAATAATTTCCCAAGTGCTTTATGAGATTATAATACCTTTTTTTTTTTTTTTTGAGAGGTTTTCACTATAGGGCGCATGCGCCGCCAGACAGACAGAGAGAGACATAGAGACAGAAAGCGAGAAATCACCCCCCAGGAGGGATGGTCATGCCACAATCCCTTCTCCTCCATTCTCCTCTCAGGATCTTGGGCACGCACGTACACGCACCTGGCGTGAGTTTTAAGCCACCGGGTCCGGGACACGAACCGTGGTCGATTATGTGGGAGTCCAGCGACATAGCCATTACGCTAACTGCTGGTTCCTGAGATTATAATACTTTGTAAAAATTAACAAATTGCTTTGACTTATAATAAAACAATTATAATCTGGGCAAAATATACAGACCAGCAGTGAAACAAGGCCTAAACACTGGTAAAACATGATGCTCTGAGAGGCAATTCCACATGGGAAGATTTCTTCTTGGAAGTTCAAGTTGATTTCTTCTTACTGGTTCAGGTTCTGAGGCCTCTGTGCATACACTGGCACCATCTTACCCATGATTTGGGACTGGCTGAAGGCTGATGGTGCATTGCTGTGTAAGATCTATTGTGTCTATCTTTCTTGTTTCTCACTTGGGGAAGAAAGAAAGAATTAAGACTTTAAAAAAGGTAATCCATTTCTCACAATTTGGTCTTTTCGGAAGTGATAAGTTACAAAATTTTGGCATAAAATTTATTGTCATCCAATACGTTTATAAGAGTGCGAGCTATGAAAATAATTTTGACAAATAAATGTTAATATTAAATTACATTTTATCATCATATTTTGAAACAGGATTTTTTCAAGAATTATCTGTATAGAAGTATAAATTATAGAAAGGATTCTAAAAATCACATTAACTTTTTAAAAATATGCAGCCTGGAAAAGATACTTTTTTTAATGGGAAGGAGAGAGAAAGATAGTTTTGTTTTGTTAAATAGCTAAGTTCTTTTATGACAGTGAGAGATAGAAAAAGAAAGAGAGAGAATGAGAAAAAAAGAGAAAACCAAGCACCCTGAATAAGAGCTCATGCCAGGATCCTCTTCATAGCCTTCCTATGCAGCCAGGATCATGGGCAGTTGTTTGTCACCTGTACAGGTCAGCCAGGGATCTGAACCCACAATTTTCCATAAGGATCCAGCTTTCCTTGAGCAGCGTGTTACTGCTGTGTAACCATGCCAGCCTTAGACTGGTATTTTGGACAGGGTCTTGCCATGTGATGTGATCCTCCTACCCAGGTCTTCCAATTGAACTAGGATTACAGGTACACAACACAACACTGCACCAGGCCTATTTAGGTTGGTCTGGGAATCAAACTTGGTCTCTCGTATAGCCCCAGTCTTGTGTAGCAGTGCCCTACCATTTGTGCTGGCACAACTAGGCCAAGAAGAGTAAATTTATTCATCCAGTCCTGCAGAAAATATTTACTACATGCCTACTATATGCCAAGCATTGTCCCAGTTTGCTAAGTACACAAAAGTGAGTAAACAAATATAAGATCTGTGCTAATGGAGCTGACAGTGTGATGAGGGAGACTCAAAGTGTGCAAGGAGATAAAATATTCGTAAATACAACCTGGAATAAGAGCAATGGAAGAAATAAATTTGGGAAAATAAATTAGAAAAATGAATGTTGGTACAAAACTATGTAAGTAGATAAGGTTGCTAGGGCAGTCTTTTCTGAGAGGTAATGTTTAAGCTGAAGTCTAATATATTGAAGTGATGTAGTCATTTATGTATGCACCTTCATATGATGTGTGTGTGTGAAATTGTGTGTGTGTGTTTGCATGTGTGTGTGTGTTGTGTGATATTTGTGTGTGTGGTTCGCATCAAGGGTAAGAATATACAGAAACATGTAGAGATTTGGGTTTTATTACAGGTATACTGGGAGACTCGGAACAAATGAGATGACCCAATGAGATTGTGTCAAAAGCAAAAGTGAATAGAATCTAGAATCCAGGCCTGCGAAACTCCAACATCTCAAAATTACGTAGTAGAGAGTGAAGAAATAGTAGCTGAAAGGAATTTCCAGGAGGATTTAAGAAAAACCATCAGAGTTTTGCATTAGAGATGTTTCAGAGATTAATGTGTCAGTAAGCAAAATGTTACCAAGTTTGCGAATGTCACTTCGATTTTGTTACATGAATGCAGAAGAGACAAGAACAGTCAGTAGAGTGAAGAGATTCAAACAGATTGAAATGGGAGGTGAAAAATGTAGAGAAAGTGTAGAATTTGGGGGTAGGGGTAGGTTGTATAAGTATGGAATCTTTTCTATGTTGTCTTATTTTATTTTATTTTATTTTATTTTATTTTAATTGTCATGGTGTGTGCGGGCTCACCAGAAAGAAACATAGAGACACAGATAGAATATCCCCAATAGGGCACGGACACACTGGTATCCTTTTTCCTCCATTCCTCCATCCCATAGGGTTTTGGGGGCATTCACACATATGTGCCTAGCATGTCTTTCAAGCCACCAAGACCAAGATTTGGAACTATTGGCCTTGTGGGATCTGACTCCCTTAACCACTAGGCTATGGGGCTGGATCTGTTTGTCTAGTTTTGCTTTGGCATGACAATTTTGAGCCTGAGAGACATAAACAGAATGTAAGAGGTTAATGCTTCAAGGAAGAGGATATACAAACAGAAATCTGAGATAATTTAGAATTCATTGATTGAAAAGCATAGGGGTGGAACAAAACTTTATTTTTTTAAGATAATAGCACAGATGCTTCAATAATAAGTTATGAAGACAAAACTGAACAGATTACTTTAGAAAGAGAGGCATGCATTTGCCAAATATAAGATTAGGAGTCTCTAGTGATAAAGCTAAAACTCCCATAATAAATATGTTCTCAGTTGAAAGCCTCAATTTAGGAAATAAATATATGTGGAATGCCCTTTGTGCACACTAAAGTAAGTTTGTGTAACATATTTTAGCAATGTTCTTTAAGGATCATTCATTGTTACAATATCCCTTTAGAACTTTCCATTAAAATATGTATGTTGTTCATAAGGTTTGTGTTGTTTTCAAGAATACGTTCATATCTGTTTTTATATAATATTTTCAATTACTGTATAGGGAGAATAATATTAGATTCTGCACAAACTAAAGCCTTTGAGTATCTGATTTCCCTATATAATATCTTTTTTTTATCATTGAGAAATTACCAAGGATCCTTTACAAAAGCTTACCATTTTTAATGTATCATTAAATTTTATGCCTACTAGATATTATAATATCATCTATTTTACTTTCAAATCTTTTGTAACAGGTTTTTCTAGCTATTAGAGCTCAAGATAATTTAGGTGGCAGCTTTCAGACCACGAAAAGTTTTACATTTACATATTATTAAAAATAACTTTCTTAAAATATTTATATGTACAGATATAATTGTGCAAGTTAATATACGATAGCTTTCATACATGGTCATGCTAAGTTTTAGTTTTAAAAAGCACTTTTCTATTCTTTAGACTTGTATTTTGGAAAGATTAGAGCTTTCTAACATTTGATCTCTTTAATTCTATTTGAACAGCACTTGGTTTTAGAAAGTTATCTTTTATTAGAATTTTACATTTTTGCAAATAAGTATTTGCAAAGAAATGACAAATGCACTAGATTATCGTTACCAAGACACTCTCAAATCTATACTAATCTTTCAGAGTTTTTTTGGACTGCTAGCTAATACCAGGCTCTGAGATGCAGACGTCTCATGCGCTTTTGAGTGATATTAGGGCAGTTGTACTAATGTACAGGCTAGATTTAAAAATTGTTTAGGCAGATAAATAATTGGAAATCTGGTACAAATAAGACTGATCTAATTAGTAATTCCCATTCTTGACTTACTGAGGCTCTATAATTATGCGGCAACAATAGATTTCTTTTCAAGTGACTAGTTGTTCCAGATAGATTAGGTTGCAAGTCCTAGTTCACATGAAGGCAGTTTGACTGTATTAAAAACATTTACCATGCTTGAATTGCTGTGAAGACAAGAGAATGTATTTTCAAGTGTTCGGTAATCATGGAAATTATGTAAGACAATAGTTGTTTATTCATTCCTTCTGTGGGTAAGAGATTTTATCATAAAACAATGTAAGAGTCTTCTGACTTGTTATTTAACATAGTATCTTTCATTATCTCTGATATTACCTCTGGATTAGCTGGATGGAAGCTAGCCTGCTTTAGAGAAAGTGAGATAGAATTATTAACATAAACTACTGTGGAAATCTCTAAGATAACCCTCCCTGAATTCACTTTTGGTTTGTACGATATAAAAGTATGTTTGGGTCTGATGCAAAGTAATGTTGGCTTAAAAAGAGATTTGAAGATAAAGTTAGAAACTCAGAAAGGAGGTAATGTTCAGTATTAACAATTATTTACACCTGGAAATAAAGCACTAGTAACAAATTAAAAGAAAACAAAATAATTCAGTGTTAAAAAAAGTCATCTCTTTATTTTAATTTTAAATTATTTTATATATTTAATGACTATACATCACTTAGCTTATAAACTGAATTCATCAAACGTAAATATACTTCATACCAGTACAGTTGAAGATACAAAACACATTATCATCAACAGATAATAATCCATTTCTGTGTCTCATAAATGTCTTGCCACTCTATTTTCCTGCTTATTTTTTTTACCTTATACTCTCCCCCTTCTCCCACCCTCTCCCCACATTGTCTTCAGTACGTATAACCATTTTCAATGCTTTTATGTCCTCTAATATTTCAGTTTCCACCATAGAGAGTGGATGGGTGATATTTATTCAGTGGAGACATACCATGTCTCTCTTTTATAGCTTGGCTTGCTTCACTTAGCAGTAGGTTTAGATATTTGATCCACTTTGGGTTGATATTCCTTAATGGTGAGACATAGGGGTTTGGATTCATCTTTCTGCAGATGGATACCAGTTTTTCTAGCACCATTTGTTAAAGAGATTTTCCTTTTTCCAGAGGATTGACTGGTACCCTTTTTCAAAGATCAGTTTGTCTGTATGTTTTGGGGTTTATTTCTGAGGTCTCTATTCTGTTCCATTGGTCCACATATCTGTTTTGTGCCAACACCATGCTGTTTTGATTATCATGACTTTATAATATTTGGGGGGGTCAGGGAGTGAGATGCCAGTCACCCCACTCTTCTTGCATAGGATTGGTTTGGCAGTACAGGGTCTTTTATGATTCCAAACAAATTCTATAATTGTCTTGTTTAGATTTGTGAAGAATATTTCTTGTAATTTGATAGGGATTGCATTGAACATGTAGATTAATTTAGGTAGAATTGCTATTTTGATTATGCAATTCTCCTAATTCAGAAACATGGAATGTCTTTCCACATTTTTGTGTCATTTTCTATTTATTTTTAAGACTTTTGGGAACCAGCAGTTAGCGTAATGGTTATGTCGCTGGACTCCCATGTAGTCGACCGTGGTTCACGTCCTGGACCCGGTGGCTTAAAACACTCTGGGCGCGTGTGCATGCATGCCCAAGATCCCGAGAGGAGAATGGAGAAGGGATTGCAGCGTGACCATCCCTCCTGGGGGGTGATTTCTCACTTTCTGTCTCTCTGACTCTCTCTGTCTGGCGAGCGCACGTGCCCTATAGTGAAAAAAAACTCAAAAAAAAAAAGATTTTTATAGTTTTTCTTATAGAGGTCTTTGACTAACTTGGTTAGATTTATTCCCAGGTATATTATCTCTTTTGTGGCTATGGTAAATGGAATTACTTTCTTCAGTTCTGCCTCTGTCTGCTTGCTGTTTGTAAATAAAAATGCTATAGATTTTTGTAAGTTGATTTTGTATCCTGCCACTTCACTATCTGCATTTGTTACTTTTAGAAGTTTTTTCATGAATACATTTAGGTCTTCTCTGTATACAATCATGTCATCTGCAAATAGAGATAATTTCAACACTTCTTTTCCTATTTGAATGCCTTTTATTTCATTCTCTTGTCTAATTGCATTGGCTAGGACTTCCAGTATTATATTGAAAAGGAGTGGACAGAATGGACAACCTTGTCTTCTTCCAGTTTTTACTGGAAAAGCTGAAAGCTGAAAGCTTTTCCCCATTCAGCATGTTAGCTGAAAGTTTTTCACAGATGGCTTTTATTATGCTGAGAAAAGATTCTTCTATGCTGATTTTGCTGAGAGTCTTAACCATAAAGAGATGTTGTATTTTGTCAAATACTTTTTCTGCATTGATCATATGGTTTTTATCTTTCTTTCTTGCAAATATCACAAATTTAATTTTCAAAGAAAGAATAGAGTGATATAGCAAAAAAGGTGTCAAATTAAAAACAAGTTTTATTTTTTTAAAATGATCTCTATATGAAAATATGGGAAGATTTTGATCAAGTTGTCAGGAAATAATGTGACCTGAGTCTTTCTTGTGATCTGAAAGACAATTGAAAAATATAGATGCCTAGGGCCAGAAGGTAACATGGTGGTTAAAGGTGCTAGACTCCCACATGGCTGACTGTTGTTCTAGTCCCGAACCTGGTGGCTTGCTTTCTCAATTCCCCCGCCCCTCTCTCTCACTCTGTCTCTCTCTGATTAAATTAAAATAAATATATTTTAAAATCTTAAAATAATATATAGATGCCTAATCTCTAATAGCCAAATATTCATTCAAATTTTGTTATATATTTAAATGTCTATACAATTTTTAGAGTAAAACTTAAAAAAAGTGATATTTCCTTCTATTTCAACTTTTTAAAGGAAATCAAAGACAAATTTTTCAGATGACATAACAAATTCTGCCAATATTTATTTTATCAAGAGAATTTTGTTTTGTTTTGTTTTGGGGGAGGTTTTTGTTACAGAGCATGTGTGCTTACCAAAAAGAGAGAGACAGAGAGATAGAAAGTGACAAATCACCCCCACCCAGGGAGAATGGCCACACCACAATTCCTTCTTCTCCATTCTCCTCTCGGGATCTTGGGCACACACATACATGTGCCTGGTGTGAGTTTAAGCCACCAGGTCCAGGACTTGAACTGCAGTCGACCACATGGGAGTCCAGCGACATAGCCACTATGCCAACTGCTGGTCCCATAAGAGAATTTAAAAAATAAAAAAAAAAAAAGTTAAATTTGTTTTATCAGTTAGTCATTCTAACAATTCTGAATGGTTAAGTATTATCATTCTCACTTTATAGAGTGGGAAGCCCAAGACTGGCACAGTGGTCTTTCCCATGGACACAGGTACTTAACAGAGCAAAGGCAATAGGAAGGTCACCAAATAA